TGGTCTCTTTCTTAATGATTGCTGAGGTGGTGTGACTGCCTTTGGTTCTGGAGACTCCGGCGGTGAAGGGTCTCCACCAAGAAGCTCCGGAGGAAGTGGGAGGTCTGTAAGCAAGTATCGTAGTCTCTGTTCTTTCTCTTTCTTCACAGGCTTCAGAGGAACAATCTCCTTTGGACTAAAGCACCGGAGAAAAGAAAAGTGTTAACTATTCAGAAGCTGATCATTGTTCTAAATCTCCAAGGTTTAACACAGATGGATATCATTTAGCTGCTACAATTATAAAGTTACTGATAGAAATATCTAGAGGAAATCAATGTAACCAAAGGTTACACCATTTTAACATTGAAGTTTAGTACCTGATATACAGCTGAAAATTCAAAATTCTGGGGTTTAAAAATGTGTTATTTTTAATGCAATGGAGGGAAAAAATAAAACACAATCATTAACTGAACTAATTTAACTTCACTGAAGTTAAATTATTTTTTTCATAACCACATACATTTTTATGTACCTTCTTCCTCCACACCCACCATACTATTCAAACATCATTGCTTGAAAGAATTTGAACTCCAGGCCATGGTTGACTACATTTTCCCCTTAAAGCAGCTATCTGCTGCTTTTAACTAATAAGAATTAACTAACTTTATTAATGTTGAAGTGAGGATTGAAAATATTCCCATGATTTGCAATAGCAAAATACCCCTAGATTACTATAGATACATAGAAGACTGTCTACATGTAAAATTTATACTAACTACAGTTTTGTAAATGAATACTTTAAAACAGATTAATTACAATTCCTGGATATTATGATGTACTGCCTCTGTAATTATTAGTTAGAGATAGTGCTATATGCTGATTGACATGTGGAAAATTAGCAATATAATATCAATGAAGTCCAATTCTACCAGCAAAAATGTAACAAAACTCTCTTAATAATGTCTATTTTTACACTTTTACCAGCCCCTGTCAAACACAGGGCAGTGGAAACACATTTGAGAATTAAAACTGTTTGCTAGATTTGAAATTAGGAAAAATTCTTTTCCTGGAAATCAAACCAGCTAGTCTGAAAAACAACTGATAGTCTCTGAAGTATTCAACCTGGCTGGAAAAGAGTTATTTGTTCAGCACATTTCTACTGCATAATTCTCAAGATGGTATTCTGTGAATTGGTGGATAGAATTGTCCTTTAAAAAAAAAAAAGATGGAAATTTAGTTGCCTGGGTTCTGTGTCATATTCCAACACAACTCTTACAAAAACAGTAGGCATTAAATCCAAATACTAGTAATTGACAATTATTCTTTTCCTCCAACCATTTATACTACTATTTTTCTATAGCATCTTTCTTCCAAAGAACTTGTGAAGCAAATTTTTTTTTTATTTTAAGCAATATTTCTAAAAAAATAGTAATAGTACACAAAAACATTTCTGCCTAAAATTACGTCAGGTTCATCAGACAGATACCCCATTCAAGATCTCAAAGGAACATAAAAATCCAGCTATGCATCCCCAGATATCTAAATATTAAGTTATCACTATGATATTAGTTATAAATTCCCTATAGCATGATGAATATTTGAATCTGGAAAAAGATTCAAATTAAAATAAAGAAAATGGAAAGTGTGAGAAATTATAATATGCTGAGAAAAATCAGGTCACAGCCACAGCAAATCTTGGTCTTGCACTGTCCTCCCATCATTCTCTGTGTGCGAAAGGAGACACCTGAAAACAGGGTAACATGTCCAGCAAGAGGAAAAATGAAGACGGTAACCAAGATGGCCAAGTTATACTTTACCACCACCAGCACCCCCAAAAATAAATATCTGATTTAAGATCATCATTCCTGTCTCCAAATATAGCAATCAAATACTGATAACAAAACAAATAAATACACATTGGCTATTTAGGGGGAATAATGGGTCAAAAAGCACATTGCTCGCCTATTTAAAAATTCTCTAGTCATGAATTCAGAGCTATGTTCATAAAAAGCACTGCAAGTGTAAACACTGAAAATAACAATAGGATTATCAACCGTTGTTTATCTCTAAAAGTATCCTGACCAGCAATACCTATCAAGTATTTTAAATAAAGCCCTCTCCTTGCCAGCTATCCAAGTTATTTTCTATTAAGGAGGTACATCTTTTGTATTCTGCAAGAAATTTCCATTCTTGTCCACATTACTACAAATTTAAGGTTTCGGAGGCAGCAAACAGGTTACTACTCCTGTGAATTCTATTGACTGCAGCATTTACTGCATCAGCTCAACAGTTTTCAAATACCAATCTTTGCATCAGAACTGAGCAAGATGAGCAATACATGATACTAACAAGTCTTTGTAAAATAGCAGTGTCTACAAACCTTACCTTTCCAACTCATCTTCCCCAGGCAAGATTGGTGGCAAAGGGAGTGGAGGCAACGTTGATGTTTTCAGATGAGGAATAGCTATGGTCACAGAACCATGTCCCTTTGAGGAGGATTGCATGGTGGGCTGGGAGTTAGCCTGAGAAGTCGAGGATGTTTTAGGAAGGGCAGGAAATGGCAGAGGAACTAAAGCAGGGCTGTGGATGGTAGATGACTGGGCAGATGGCAGAGGGGGAACCACTGGCAATGGAGGCAAAGGGGGCAATGGTGGAGGAATCTGAGGAGGTGGGGATGAGGTTGGTAAAGGAGGGAGTGACTTTACAGAAGGCAAAGGAGGTAGGACCTCTTGCTCAGCTGGCTGTATTTCTTTTGGAGTCACAATTTCCTCCTTTGCTGTAACAAGTTTTATATTTTTTGTTCCCACAGCTTTTGAGTCTTTAACCAAAGCAAGACGTTTCTTTTCAGAATTTTCTGCTGTCTTTGTTTTGACAGGCTCAGGAGTTGTTTTCACCTCTGTATTTTGTTGTAGAGTATTTACCGTCACCAGATTATGAGGACATTTTTCAGGCTTAGCCATTTTTGCCTTCCTGACATCCATTATAGACTCTTTTACTTCAGTTAAGTTATTTTCTTTCCTAGAGGACAGGCTAAGTGAGTCCTTGCTCTCCTTTCTATCAATTTTTGCTGCAGCAGCAGCGGCAGCTTCAGCCCTCTCCTTTTTCTTCCTACTCAGCTCAGCTCCCAAACTGGAGGTCAGTGGTAGCTGAACAGGTGAGATACTGGAATGACGACTGCAAGACCCAGTTCTCTGTATTTTGTTATGAGATGTTGAATGCCTTGAATAAGCAGGACTTCTGCTTCGGGATTTCATGGGCTTCCTGTGAAAACAAAATAGGATAAATCAGAATCCAATAGGATCTCAACTGCCATGCTTTTATGTAAAATATCAACTTCTAGCTCTTAAGAAGTTAGCTCAATGTTTTATGTTCTGTATTTCTATTACATAATATGTTTCTTTTGCAAGGTATGTGAACAGACAATGAAGTTTGTAAACCATATTTAAATGCTACATTAACCCAGCTGATTTATTCATCATACTATGGTTAAAACAGGTCATGGTTTAAGCCCTTTCAGAACTCACACTATTTATAGACACCGACCACGACCCTTAATGCTCCAGTACATTCCTCAACTTGCTACAGGTTTCTCTGCTTTCTTCTTACATTCACTTTATGTGCATAGGCTGCACCTTCCACTCATGTATAATACAGTAATCTTTATAGTACCACATGTTAAAACAAAAGGGGTCAAACATTTGAAGCCGGGTCATATTTAGATCTTTTGCTTGAAATCAAGAAACCATGATATATCATTGTTCATATGTGCAAAAACAAAGATATACACTCCCTGTACAAAACAAGACAGACATTTTTAATATTTACTATGAAGTTTTTCTTTAAAGTGTTCTAGCAGAAAGAGAGGGAGGGAGGGGAGCTGAGCTGCCTTTGCTTGGTTCAGCACTGCTTTCAAGTTCTACTTCCCCAAGTTGGTGGTTACTTTCCCAAGATGCTCTTAAATGTTCTGTGTAATCAGAAAATAGCCTTACTGAAGTTACCTTTTCTTTCCCACCAAGAGGACTGAGTTCAATGGCAGCTCAGGAAGGAAGTAAATTTTCAGTTCTGTTGTTCAACATAGGCTATGTACTTTCTGCTATAGTCTAGCAGGTAAGAAAGAGAGCGTTCCCAGCCACAGAAGGTTGTGTGACTGTGAGCCAGCCACTTTTTTTTAGTCCATCTTAGGTCACAAAGTTTTATGATTAAAAAAAAAGAGGAAGGGGTGCTATATGCCCTATATACAGCTTCCGAAAAGTTATAATTGAAAAATTAAAAATTAAAAGAACTGGTAAGACCAAAACTCAATAAGTGTCAGAAATCCTTACACTGGTTCTCAGTTTTTCCTACTCCTTCCCTGACATTGAGCTTCTCAGCTCTAATATTACTGGACAAAACTGTTCTAACAATCAGATCTCAGCAGATTAGTAATCTTATCTAAATCATTCCTAATCCCTAACACTCCAATAAAACACAAAGATCCGAAAGCAATTTCTGCAGTTAATTATAGGAAGCTGAGAATAAATGTAATCCTGAGGTCTACCGGAAGTACTTCAGGACTTTGCAGTGTAGATTACTAATCTAAAATTTAGAAAATAAGTAAGATTGAAATGTGAATGTTACTTGCCTCCTTACTTTTTTTAAAATCAGTGAAATATATTAAAAGCTATCCTTTTATTTTGTTATTTCACTGTTTTCAGATTATTTAAAAGTTACTAGAAGGGAAACATTTAGTTAGGGATGAACATTGGTGTCTCTAGTGCTATCTGAGCTATTATTTGCAGACCTTTCATTACCCAAACAGGTAACATCAGTGCTACAAAGTGTGGAGTTTGGTCCCTATTTATATATTGTTTCTATTTAAACATTTTAGCTATTTTAAAACCTTTAATATGTTCATTTTTAACACAATATAGCTACTCAAGATTTACAAACAGTAATTTCTAGAAATCCAGTTGTCTGGACCATTACATATGCAAGATTGTACAAACAATTGTTTATGACAGGCGCTATTGATTTAAATTAAGCTCAAAGATAAATTAGGCCATGAAAGAGGGCAGAAACAGAAGTAATCCACAAAACCAACAAGGGTAACTAAAGAAACATGATTGAGAAAAGAACATCACTAGTCAATATGGCTGCACTCAGCCTTAGGCCAATTATTCCAATTTTCTTTCAAGTTTTGAATAAGCTATCAATAAGTCATTATTTGCTATTTTAGGCAGTTTAAAATGTTTTCATGACTTTCAATACGAAAAGAGCTAGTTGTACACTTGGAGATAGTAAAGTCAGTTACTGATGTTTTTCTGGAAATATAAGGGCAGACCTCTTTCAAGAGCAAAGGGAAATATTCTTTCTTGAATGAATAACATTCAAGCTAATTTCTTAAATGTAACTAACCAAAAGCAGGATTTTCTCCTTGCAATGATTTTGGTATTACCAGAAAACTCCAATTATCTACAGGAATCAATAATAATAAGAGTTGTTTTGGCTGAAAGATGGTTACTCCCATGGAATGCACTCACTGGCTGAGTTCACACATCACACTATAGTGTTTGTTTTAAAAACTATGATTTTACCACAATGTGCAGACCACAATACTGGATTTACCCAGTACAGTAAATCATAACCCAAACCACAAAGTTAAGTGACATGTGAACCAACGATAAATAAATATTAAGTATGCTTTGGGGCACATTTCCAGGTAAGGCAACATATAGCATTCTCTTGTTCTTCATACACAGCAAAAGAGCACTCCTAGATTTAGATTATGGTCACCCATTCATAGCACACAACTTGTACGTCCCTCTTGCTTTCTATTGAGTTTTCTAAATAGATACTATTAAAGCAGACAACATATACATCTCTTGTCAATAGCTGGGAAATAATTAGGCATAGAAGCCACCACGTCTGGCACCAAACAGAACTCAAAGAGTGAATGGATTTTAGGATCCATTTTAGCCCTCCCAAAGTCCTTGCTTTGTTGATTCACGTCTGGTAGCTGTAACTCAGATGGCAGCATGCTCCATATACTCAGGCTGAGCTTCCTTTGTCTGGATCAGTTAGCTTTTTTCCTTTAGGCTTGGTTCCTTCTTAACTACCTCCCTAAGGGGATATTTTAGATATGATTCCTGGTTTATTGTCTTCCCTGTTTATGTGTCTTCTTCATCTTTATCTATGGCAGCTTCAGCCTAGTCTCACAATATATCACAAAATTCCCCAAAATTCAGGTCAACAAAATGTACTAATAAATCTGCAACAAAACCCTTTACAGTATATTTGAGCTCTATTGACTCATATCCCATTCTCCAAACTTCAAGTTAGCAGTCTGCCAATCCCTGCTTATTTAGGAATCCAACTTGAGAATTAGCTATTGAACTCACAACAGACATCTCATTTTGTAGTGTATTGTACCAAACATTTTAAGAAGCTATTCTCTGTTAATATGGTCAGTTTAGAGGAAGGACATCTGTTTAGAGGAAGGGCAGCTGTTTTTATAAAAGACTATAACACTTTTTATAAAAGAATAATGGAGAAAGTGAGTTAAAATGGTTTAAGAATTTCAGAACCCAACATATGTAGGCGAATGGGAAAAAGAGTTGGCAAACTAAAACACCAGACAAAGCTTTGTAAAGCTTATAAAATGAGATAAAAGAGAATATAAAAAATGAACAGGAATAAGATGCTTCCTTGCAGTTTCACATATTTAAATATACAATACTTACTGTTTGTTCTACTCAAGCCTACTTACTCAACATATCATAAAGACTTAATCAAGTCATTTACATAAGTTTTCTAAACTTATGGACATATGTTTTTAGATTACAAAGTGTTTACACATATTAACCAATCCTTTCTCAATAGACATGGAGATGCTTTCCTGATATTTGGCCCATAATTAGCAGGAAACAACAACTCCATTTGTCCTACATTATTTAAAAGTAATTGCCAAGAGTTGAAGTACCAACCAACTTAACAATCTTAACTTGGTGGGAACCTTGCTTAGTAATATGTTTCACAACATTCCCTCCATATAAAATGTCTTATGTTAACAATTATATAGTTTCTCTCATGTTCATTAACTATTTCATTATAGAAAGGAGAATGGAGCTGTGAGATACAGTTCATGAAGACCATCAAGAATTTACAACGGGAAGAGGAGAGTTCTGTGAATAGTCGAAACAATATAAGATTTAGCACTGCCAGAGTGCTAGCCTGAAAAACTCGTACTTCAGTGTCAAGGTTCTGCATTGAAAAGTGTTAACAAGAAACTATAGTAACTTATCCACGGAAATGTTAACTATGCAATGCCCAGTGATAACCAGTATTAGCAGTTTCATATATTTATATTATAAAGAGAGAGTAATACCTTCCCAGTATTAGCAAAATGAAATCTTATTTAAAGTAAGATGAATAGTATAACGTTTAGAATCAATGATAAATGTTGATAGGAAAGAGGTCTATTTTAAAAGTTCCTTTCTGCAGGTTTTAATAATTAGTTAAAATTACAGTTCAAAGGAATAATATGAACACATTTTAGCTATACTGACTTCCCTTATGGTATTCATAAATATCAGAAGCTGAATTTTTGAGCCCATAACTGTTGTTTAGCTAAATGTATATGAAAAGAATATCTATCGCCACTTAAGAAAAGTCCAGTAAAATAATTGTGATAAAACTATCTAAGCATAACTATATGAAAAGTCATGAAGGCTGATTAAACTGAAACTTCCATACTATATATTTAAATGATATAATGTTAAATATATCTTATTTTCTTTGAATTGAGTTCAACTTGCTAAAGAAGAGTTTCTTGCAACACTGGTTTATATATTTAGTAAACCAGTCATCTCTTCCAGTTTTTTATTTTATAAAAACTGAAAACCACAATATGTATCATGAGAATTGATTAAACTGCAATTTTAGTTTTTAGAAATTTCTGACATTTATACTACATCTAACTATAGCACAATGAAAGCAATTAACAAACAGTAAATCTTGGCAGCTAGTTCTCAATTACACACCTGACACAGAAGCTATCCATCTGCATTAACTATGTAATGTCATCTATCTTTAATGATCTGTATTCATGCTGATCATGATTTGCTCATTGATTCTAGTTTGCCAAGTTTTGATGGCTTGACAAATTAAACCAAAAATATGTTGAAAAACATGCAAGACTCACTGTCCCTAAGTTTTCAGATTCTATGTTTCTATTTCATATCATGGTTTAGCATGATACTCCATCAATTCAATGTTATACTGGCTGACCTGGCTTCTTTTCAACTTATTCTCCAATAAGATAGAAAGTATTACTAAGGATACAATAACACTGGAAGACTGAAAAACAAGATTGTACCTTAAATCATCATCCTTTAATATTAAGCCAAGTCAGAAGTGGGCTGCTCCCGGTTCGGCCTGGATTGGGCAAACCAGTAGTGGCAGCTGTGGGAGGCTCTGCCCATGGAGCACGAACGAACTGGTAGTGCTGGGATTTGCAACCCACCTCTGAGCCAAGTGTGTTAGACTCAAACTCCATTCTCACTAGCATAAGCATGCTATCTTAAAATAATATTATGATCCAATACATAGGGCCGCATCATGGTGAGAAATAAAACTAATGAATCAGAGGAATATAAAACATTTTGTTCTAAGAGACAATAACAATTTTGGGACATTATCCCCTTTAGTTATATTGTACTTAGGATGCTCAACAATTTTGATATAAGTATGAAGACCAGTACCTGGAAACAGGACTACGACTCAGAGACCGTTTGGAAACAAAAGGACTGCTGGAGCTCCTTCGATTGAATGGGCTGTGGGATCTTCCGCTATATGAACCACTTCCCCTTTCAAAGCTGGATGAACGCCTCCTGCTGTATGGGCTGACTGACAGCTGTCTCCTGCCATAAGGGCTGGGAGAACATATATTGGATTGGTAGGCAGGTTCCTTATATGGAGGACTGACTGATGGTCGTCGTGAGGATACACTAGGACTCTTCTTACAGGAATCATAGTTACTGGATGTATGTGAGCGTGGAGGGCTGTTGTCATACTCCTGTGAATAGGATGCTCCTGAGGGACTGTCATCTTGTTTGGGACTATCTGACCACTTATAGTGTGGACTTCTGGATTTCCACTTTGGACTGTCCAGTGACTTGCAGCTTTTGGGGGCATCTCTTTTCCGATGACTTTTACTGTGATCCTTGTGACCAGATTTTGCCTCCCGTTCTTTTCTAGACTTCTCCTTATGCAGTTTGGCTGAGCGGGACTCTTTGCTACTGCTTTTGAATGATTTAGATGAGTGGTCATCATTCTCCTCTTGTAGCCTTTTGGAAGTACCAGATAGTCTATCCTTACTAGAACTCAACTTGCCTGAGGACTCCTGGTTTCTGTCCATTCTCTTCTCCTTGTCTCCCAGCTTACTTTTTATCAATTCACGGACACGCCTGTGTTGATGATGACGATGTCTATGTAGTCGATCACTCCTGTCTGATGTCCCTTTCCTCTCATCATTTTCTCTACGTTCCAGCTTGAGGACTGCTTCATCTGAGAAGGTGTCAGAATCAGAGCTGATATCGTCATATTCTACCAATGGCTTGATCATGCTGCCAAGTGTTGCACCTCCTTCTTGGGACCCCAATAGTGAATCTTTGGAATGCTTGGATCTGTGTCTTTTATGCTTGGAGAGTCGATGCCTTTCTCTGCTGTTTGAGCTCCCACTGCTGGACACTGCATCTTGATGCAAAGACCCCCCACCTCCCATATCTTTCTTTCCCCCATGTCTCTCTGGGTTTGGCATTCCTTCTCCACTGTGCTTGAAAAGAGGGAGTAATCCTCCAAAAAGCCCAAATTCTACTCTTCAAGCCCCTCCCCCTACAATGGAAGGGCTACTTTTTCTTTTGTTACCTATGTCCTACATTCAACCCACCCCTGTCTCTTTACCAGGATAAATGGGGTTGCTCTATGAATACCTGATTCTGCAATCATATGCAGAATGTTGTAAGATAAGGCTGCCTCAGAAATAAATCTGAAACTGAGTTGAGTCGCCTTTCAACTGGAGGAAAACAACTCTATCAAAATATCCTCCGATCTCACACTTCACATGTAGGAAGGGAAGAAACGATGTTTTAAACCCTGAGTAAGCACCTGCTCTTCCTTAACTCCAAGTCTAAATTAACTCCTACTTTTAGGGTGTTAAAGGGGTAAAAATAAGAGAGAAAAACCCAATTTGTAAATAGGTAAGAAGCTGAACTTTAGAAACGCCTCACCTTCCCCCCCAAAAAGTTCTGGAGACTAGCCACTTCAAGGTTTTCGAAAAAGGGGTCCCCTAAGAGTAGTCTCCCAAAGTATTTAACCAGCGGACTGCCTTGGGTCAAGGTTGCCTTGCCACTAACTAAAGGTCCCACGTCCCTACAAATTGAAAGTGGGGACTGAATTTATTTGCTATCTCCGTAACTTCCTGAGGGACTGACCGTATACACTTCCAGCCCGCCCCGGGGCCTCGCTCACTGAGCAAATCCCGTAGGCCCGTGACCGACCCAAGAGCCTCCACCCGCTCCTCGACCTTATCTCTAGTGAGTCCCCCAAGTCAAGATTCCCATCTTTTTTTACCTACTTCCCAGACCGAAACGACGCTGTTTCCAGATTGGGGGGGAGGGGTATGGAAGAGGAAGGTAGGAAAGTGAGGAGGGAAGGTTAGCCCCCAATTCTCGCGAGAATACGAAAAAATAATCGCCCACGTTGTCGTCCTCTGAGCAGCCGACGCTGTGGCTTCTTTTGGTATACCTCGGAGGTTCCTTTTCCCCCAACTCCTCTCTACCTGCTCCTATTTCTCCAAATACCGCGAGAACACGCGCGTGCGTGCGCGTACGCTTGCCTCTCACGCAGGCGCACGCGCTCCCGCACAGCCCGAGCTTTGCGAAGTCTCGCGACGCCCGCTTAGAGATCAGGGATGGGACGGAGGTTATCCCGGTTTCTGACCTGATGGGGAGTTTTTTAGACGAGATTTGCTGCCATGTTCTCGCGGGATCTCGGCTATTTTTTTTTCACCTCAAGGCGTGGATGGCCTAAGACTAAAATGCGTTATTAATTAAACTTTTGTTTTTGAAAAACCTTAGAAGACAAAAAAAAAGAGGGCGTTTGCTTTGCGGGAGTCATTTTTCCTCTCAACGGGGGGGGGCACACATCGTAGTTTAAGATGTGTTGTAACAACACATGCAATCCTAGACCATGCAACACATGCAATCCTAGACCATTCTAATTCCTGCTACGAAATATATTAAGCTTTATCACAAGGCAGCTGCGGTTATTTTTATTTTTTTCACAAAAACATGATGAATTTTCCCGGGTATAAAAACAAATTGATTTAGAAATGGCGTCCCCCCTCCTGTGCCTTTTCTCTCAATACGTGTTTACTAAGGAACTTGGAAACGACATTCTGCCAGGATGAGACGTGAGGGGAAAAAGAATGGCACTTTATGGAAAATCATTCTGTACTTGAAAACAGCTGGGGAAAATTAGCTGCCATCTACTGCGGAGATTTAAGATACTCGCTCTTTCAACGAGGAATTTGTTAGTACAGGCGGTGGAAGGGGGAGAAAGAGCCGATGTCAAATCTCGCGAGAATTACTGCCCTTCCTGCCTTTGCATTGACTGCCACACGGGATTCTCGCACGACTTCCTGCTCTACATTTTTTCATGTTTCGAGCCCGGGGAGGAGGAGGAGGAGGAGGAGCAGGGAGGTCTCGCGTGGCGGGTGGTGGGATGGCGGTTGCTTTGCAGTAATCGGGACTGAAGGAGGCTGCCTTTGCTGGGCCCGCCCCTTTCTCACCAAGGGAGAGGGCCTGTCTGGCTGGGGCAGTTCTACATGAGGGAAAGCAGCAGGGTCACTTGCCCCCTTTCCCCCCACCATCATCGGAGGGATGAAGGCAGTTCAGGGCAACACCGAGGGTGAGTGATGGGGCTTCGGGCTGCAAAAAAGCGCTGGCTCGCTTTCTCCGTGGCAGAATCTTTAGGGATGTAGCAATAGCCCTTACATTTACCTGCTGCACCGTAGTGCTTTACAGCCCCCTCTAAGCATAGTTTACATAATCACCCTATTGGCCCCAACGATCTGGGATCTCATTTTACCGATTTCGGAAGGATGGAGGGTGAGGCAGCCTTGAGCTGGTGAGATTCGAACTGCCGAACCGCTGATAGACGGCGGTGGGCAGAATTAGCCTGCAATGTAGGAGTCACGAAGGCCCTCTGATCGGATGGGAAGATTTACCAAGAGCTCAATAGAGGGTTGCCGATGTGGCAATCGCAATAACCGTGCAAGAGGGGTCGATCTTGGGGGTTTCGGAAAGACACGAGAGTCCTGGGATATTTTGACAATTTCGGATAAAGCTCGGAGAAGATGCTTTTGTAGAAAATTGGTAGTTGTGTTGGGGTACGAAAGAAAACAGAAAGATTTCGTTTGGCAGCTTTTTACAAAATTTGGGCATGAGCGCCAGCCTGAGGGCAACTGCTGAAAAGACAGTTGGGTAACACATTAACAGCCATTGCCCTCACGAGACCTCGATTGGAATCTGGTATCCATTTTGAGGCACTACAATTCAAAAGAACAGTGACAAATTAAAGCAAGTTTGAAGAAGGCTGTCAAGGTAGTGCAGAGTCTGGATCCAAGCTTTTGAAGAAGTATTTGAGAATCTATGTATGTTTAACTTAAAAGATGACTTAGGGAGATGGGAAAACAGTCTTCAAATATTTGAAGAATTGCCATGGAGAAAAAAGAGCAGACTTGTTTATTGCCTGAAAAGGCAGAACCAGAACCAATAACTTAAATTATTGGTCTTCAGAATAGATATCAGAAGAAATTCTTGACTGTAAGAGATATCAAGTATTGGAACAAACTTTCTCATGAAGTGGTGGGATCTTCTCTAACTTTGCATTGAGGCAGTAGTACTCCTGTTTCAGAGATGGTGCACTTGAACAAGGGTTGGGCTAGATAATTTCATTTCCAATCCTATGATTTTTAATGGATTTTATTTGGGAAATGGATGGGAAATTGAGATGATCCTTTCTATATTGGTATTTATAAATGAATCCATATTTTAAAGTGTTTTGAAGAAAAAGCATTGTCAACGAGTTCCTCTTACCTTCTATTTATGAATATTCCTGTTTGTTGCTTTCTTTTCTCCTTGTTTCTTATGCTGTGAATATAGCGCATGATTTGGCTAGTAAGGAATTTTGTAATGGGATAGTTATACATTAATAAAAATCCAAGATCCACATGACCCAAAGAGGCAACTTGACTTTGTGTTTCTTTGAAGATGTTTCACTTCTCATCCAAGAAGCTTCTTCAGCTCTGACTGCATGGAGGGGGAATGGAAAGATTTATATTCCTTGCAGATAGCTGGTTATTTGCAATCTTTTAGACAATTGTTGAGGGTATTTTGAGGTTTATCTGTGTCCTCAGGGTCACCCTAATAATGCAAATGGGTGTGAAGCCTTCTTGGAACTGCTGAAAGGACTTGAAGACTGGAACTAGATGATGCCGTATCCCTCCCCCTCTGCTGAGAGAAAGCTGTTCAATGTTGACATAGGGCCATCAATGAACAGTTGAACAGCCCTTTCTCAATAGAGCGGGAGGGATACAACATCATCTATCTCCAGTCTACAACACAGTCCTTTCAACAGTTCCAAGAAGGCTCCACACCCATTTGCACTACTCAGGTGATCCTGAGGACACAGATATATATCTCCCAACAGATTTTGAAGCCTATGTAGCAGATTCTAATACAGTGTTTATTTCCTTTTATGCCCTCTGTTCTGAATAAATTAGATTTTTGTGGCTTCTACAAGAAGCCCATTCTATTTTCTATTTTGACTGAACAACATAGCTTGACATTATGATTTGAATTTTTTGTGGGGAGGCTGGCACAGACTGCACAGATAGTCCTTGGCTTACAACCACAATTGAGCCCAAAATTTCCATTGCTAAGCAACACAATTGTTAAATGTGTTTTGTCCCATTTTACCACCTTTCTGACTTGTTAAGTGAATCAATGCAGGTAGTAACACATTACATGAATCTGCTTTTCCCATTGACTTATCTTGTCAGAAGGTCGCAAAAGGTGATCACTTGATCCAGGAACACTGCAACCATCATAAATATATTCCAGATGTTAAGTATCTAAATTTTGATCATGTCACCATGGGAATGCTGCAACGGATATCTGAAAAACAGTCATAAGTCACTTTTTCAGTGCTGTTGTAATTTTAATCACTGAACAAATTGTTGTAAGTAGTGGAGTGTTCTAAAGGAAAATTCAGTTAGGTAAAAATTGGAGAGAGAAACTATCAGCTTGTATAGAAAGCAGATGCTAATTAATGTCTAGTAGATTAACCAGTTGCTTGATTATAAACAACTTAAAATGAAATTGGCAACCAAATTTCTTATTTGGTTAACAAATTTTGGGTAAGAAAGGTGTTAATTTGGTGTCAAGCAACTATCTATGAAATGGATTTTAAGTGATATATTATCCAAGTCAATCTAGCAATTAGAATGTAGAATTCTAGCAGAAATTGAACATCCCATGACTGTTGGGCATCTTTTCTTATCTAAACAGAGAAACAGAATGGACAAAAACAAGCAGTGGGATCAGGAGCTCCCTTATGGAATGATGCCAGAGTGTTTCAAAAAGTCATGATCACTTGACACTGGCAATGCTGCAGCAGCCATAGGTTTGCTAATACAATTGATTTGAAGATCCTTTAAATTTCAGTCATATGAGAATAACGGTGGTGGACTTCGTACACATTCTTTAATTTTGTGGATTTTAAGTACTTAATTTAAAAAAAAGCACTATGATGTATCATTTTGGAATTGAAGGTTACAGAGTTTTAGTATATAGAAAAGAGATAGATCATGGAGAAACAGCCATGTGCAATAATTAGAAATTTGCTATTAGCAAATTTGCTTTCTAGAATTTGCTAGGAATTTAAAAATATTTCTTTCCTAACAGAAAGGTAAAAATTATACAACTAATGACGCATATTGAATAATTTTAGCTACAGTATTGTCTGCTGAACTTATATATTCCTACCTCCTCTAAAGAATTACATTATGATGAAGTCTATGGGGAAAATTTCTTCTGAAAACTTTACCCACCATTTTGAATTTTCATATGTAACAGGTAGAAAACATAAGATAACAAGATCTTGATCTTCTGAAATATTATAGGGAATGAATAGATCTGTGGGAAGGAATTTCAAAGATATCAATTGAGACTTGATTTGCCTTTCAACCTAATATTTTCTCTTGTTTGAGATCACTTCATTACTATTAGCTTAGAAAATTTTATCATTCATTAATGCAATGTTGAGAATTAACAGTAAAATAAGCATGGTTAGTTTTCTTCACAGACGTATACTTGTTCACTTAGGTTTGGTGATTATATGATGCTCTTTGCCTTGCAAAATAAACCTTGCAGAATAATGATTTGTTAGTCAGCCCTTCTACATCTGTAAATCAGAAATAGGGGAAAAGTATGTATATCCACAATCTGATATGAATACTGAATTATATAGGTCCTGGTCATCTTCTACAAGCTGTTTTTCTGGGCAGAAAACCTGAATGGAATTTTCTAAGATGAGATTGAATAATAATAACTTATAAAATTTCTATACTTCCCAAATCTTAACAACTTGGAGCAGTTCACAGCAATCAAAGAAATTAAAATCAGTTAAAAAATAAAGATAAAAGATGACAAGAGTAATGAAGCCAAAGCTTTGGTGAAAATTAAACATAAATTACACATGACTTGTGATTTTACTTATAGAATCAGAGAAACTGAATAAGATGAGTTCCCTTCTGGAAAGACTTCATGTCAAGTTTAATCCCAACAGCAGACCTTGGACAGAGACCATGAAGCTTGTTAGACAAGTTATGGTAAGGATTAAAAGACTTTAAATTAATTTATTGTTTAGGCTTTTGCTATCATCCCCTGAGAATGGAGAATACATTTTATAACATATCTAAAGAAAAATTGGCAGACATGGAAAGTAGCCAAGAAATTGGACTATTGACTGACTTATTGAGCAACTGTTTCAGATCTTAGAAATACTAATTAGAATTAACTATTGTCACAATCTACACTACATTAAGTATATTAATATCTTAGTTGTTTCCATTTCATTTTATTATTAAATGTGACATGAAATAGTTTCTCCTATTTTTTTTAAATGTAGGAAAAACGAATTGTCATGAATTCTGGAGGTCACCAGAATCTTATCACTTGCTTAGAAACTTTGCAGAAGGCTTTAAAAGGTTGGTAGTTGTGTCAAAAACATATATATTAAATATTAAATATTTAATTTTATTATTTATTTTATTTTATTTTTTAAAAAAAAGAAAGAAACACTAATTGATTTATAGGAATTGGCATTAAGAACATTTTTATTGCTTTGTTTATCACATTTATTCAAAATAAATTCACAGTACCATGTTTCCTCGACTTGAATATAAGTACTCAGGCTTATTTTCGGAGAAGTCTGGGGGGGGGGTTGTTGTTTTTTTGTTTTTTGTTTTTTTTAGGTGCGGGAGGTGGGGAACACAGTCACCTCATGGCTGCTGAGCCAGCATGGGCAATTGAGGCAGAAAGCCATGCCACCCATCAGAATCGGCTCCTCCCCCCCCCCCCACCTCTACAGGGCTGCTGCTACTTGAGAAAAGGACAATTCTGGAAGATTGTGGGTAGTGTGTGCTTATCGTAGAAGCAAATTGCAGCCTGTCCCTTTCAAACAATCTCTCTGCTTACGTGAGAGAGAGAATGAAAGGGCTCTCCGCCATCTCTCTCTCTGTCTCTCTCTCTCTCTCTCTCTCTCATACACACACACACACACACACACACACACACACACACACACAAACAATGAGAAACAACAGAGGGCAACCAGGTAAGGAGACTGACCCTTCCCTGCCTCCAGCTTGGCACCTGCTCAGGGTGGTGCCCTGAGGACCAGTCTCTGGCCAACACAAGAAATGGGCTCCCTCGCAGAACCTTGTCTCCCATGTGAAGCCAGCTGGCCGTGACACACCCCAGCATTGGCAGCCAGGATAGGGTCAGAACCCGTGACAGCCAAGATCAGCAGGCCAGACTCGATGAGCCAGACACACTATGGATGCACCATCACCGCCTGGGAGGAGAAGAGTGCACCGGAGCCCAAACACTAGCCTTTGCTGTACTCAGAAGCCAGGGATCCTGCAGCATCCCGGCCATATAAAGACTGCTGAAATCCCCAGGCTGTTTGCAACTCGAATGAGCCTCATGCAGGAGCTGCAGCCGCCATGAGGTTTGTCATACCAGTGCAGCCTCTTGGAGCAGGAGCCTTCAAGGCTTGTGGTGGTGGTGCACTTGTGAATGGCAGCACCGCTGCAAGCGTTATCTCACTGACACAGCTAGCTGTGCCGGTATGTCAAACTTCCCAGTGATGCCACTGCTCGCACTCACGCAACAGCACACCGATCCTTGCAGGGTCCTGGGATATGCTGAAGGCTCAGAATGGAAGTTTTTTGCAAACAGCAGGAAAATGGGGAGGGGGATTTTTCTGCCTGTCATCTTTTCCTCAGTTTGTGCTGAGTTGAGAATGACAGGCAGGAAAATTTTTCTACTGTTCATCAAAAAGGCTCCATTTCTAGCCTTCAGCACTGTAGTCCTGAGATGTGCGTCCTTTTCTCAAGTGACATTTGATCGCTTGAAAGGGACAGGCTGCTCCCAGAGAGAAGGAACAAGAGGCAGCTCCCAGCTCTTGCTGGCTCAGCTGATCCGCGGGCCCCAATTAAGGGGCAGAACAGCCATAAGGTGACCGGGCAAGGAAAGGGCTGCCTCCTGTGTTGGCCACGCCCACCTCTTCACTAGGGCTTATTTTGGGGGTAGGATGTATATTCGGCCCAATCCCCAAAAATCAAGCAAGGGCTTATTTTCATGGTAGGTCACATTTTTGGGGTAACATGGTATTTATTGACTTTTTTGTGTAACTATTTTATATAATATTCCTAAGGATTTATAGATTGATTGTAAATCTGATGGACATGATTTGCTGCAATTTATATCTTTATGTTTTATTTGGTTAATCAGCAGGCATATTTTGCATATTAATGTACAAAATGCCACATTCCTAATGCTTTTGCTGCATCTTTGTAATGGATTTGGGAACAAGCAGTAGTGGTTTTTCCTTTTCTCTCCATTCAGAACCAGCAAGCAGTTGCAGAGGCATGTTTGGTTTCTCTTGCTTCTGTACCTGCTGCCAGTTAGAACTTCTGGTTAATAGGTGCAAAGTTAAGCCTCTGCCCCAGCTCTATCTGCATAGCATAGTTAGAGAAGGGGTTAAAGTCTTTTTGCATCAAGAAGCAAAGAGTTAAAACAATAGAGCTATTTTTCTTCTGTTTGGGATTGGAAAAAAAGTACACTCCTTGATTTAACATTTGGCCAACATTTTCAGAGAGCTTGTAGTAGTATCATACTCCAAATATTGTTCAAGGAAATAGATTTAGTTCCACTGCAGCATATTAATTGGACTCTGTTTCCTGATTTGTTAAAGTGGGGAAGTTGATTTATAATGATACATATCAACACCAATGAATTCAATGTTATGTAGTGTACAGTGATGTACGTATAATAAATTAAAATGCTTAAAACAAGAAGTTATGGTCCTGAATTAGGATACTTAAATCGGACATACAGAAGTCCCCCTGTCATGTTTCTCTGCTTTTCTTCCAACCATTTTGGCTATTCACATGTGGCTAAAGAGAAAAGCAGTCCAGAAAAGTTGTTGAATGGAAAAACACAAGATTCTGCTATTTTCATCTGCATGTTTTTTTCTGTTTTTAAAACAAGATACCATTCCCTACTTCTTGCTAAATAGCAATAGCACATAGACTTTTATACCATTTCATAGTGCTTTACAGTCCTCTCTAAGTGGTTTACAGAGTCAGCCTATTGCCCCCAACAATCTGGGTCCTCATTTTACCGACTTCGGAAGGATGGAAGGCTGAGTCCACCTTGAGCCTGGTGAGATTCAAACTGCCAAATTGCAAGCAGTCGGCAGTCTGCAGAAGTAGCCTGAAGCACTGCATTCTAACCACTGTGCCACTGCTGCTCTAAATAATCATAAAAGGCTATAAGTGCATAGTGCTGCTGTTATCATGTTTTGATGTCTTTTATCAGTCTTTTGCTTTGGAAAAAAGCAAAAAAATCTTTAATCTATCTTGCCCCAAGCCTTTTGGGTGAACCATCATAGGAAAAAATTAGAAAAATGTAATGCTAGAAGAAATTGTAAAACTTAGTCTAAAATGTAAAGATTCAACTCCCCATTTACTATATGAAAAATAAATCTAAAGTTGACAAGAGGACTGGATTTAATTAAACTCTCTTCTTCCTAGTGTCATCTCTGCCTGCTATGACAGATCGCTTAGAGTCCATTGCTAGACAAAATGGGTGAGTTGTTTAGTTCTTTTACAGGTTTTACCTAGTTAATTTCAAAGAATCATGCTAATTGTCTCTTTGATATGCTACAAAAACACATTTCTACTGGAAAGCAATTTCAATTTCAATTCTTTTGCAGGAAACATAGTTTACTTTGGTTATACAGTACATGAAGTGTAACAAATAGCCTTGATCCAAGATCACATCTCAATTGTGGTCTGAATTGTATTAATGATTTTATGAGTGGATTAAAATGTAATTTTCCATGAATTGATTTAAGTAGAGTAGTTCTTAAACATTCATTATATTTGAAAGCAAGCTTGAAATAATTGTATTCTAATGTCAAACTACTACTTAGCTTTCATAGCTTTCTTTAGCCAGTACTATGCTAATTACATTTTTATATATATTCATACTAGGTTTTTTTTTTCAAATATAATTTTTATTAAACATTATTACCTTTAAAAAACAGAAAAAACAATACAGCGACATAAATACAAC